GTGTAGTTCGGCAGGGACTGGTTTGTCCGGGTGATGGGCACGGCACGTCAAGGCACGGCGCGGCGCGGCGCGGCGCGGCGCGGCTCTTACATTTAACCTTACATCTTGCTTGGTTTCCATCAACTGGCCCCACTGTGCGCTGGCAGCCTGGCAGAGCCGTGGCGGGGGAGGGGGAGGGGGCGGCGGCGCTCGAGGTCGCGGTCAGCGCGCGCAAGAAGAAAGCGGAAAGAAAGCGAAAGTGGAGGAGCGCGGAGCGAAGCGGAGCGCGCGGCCACTCCCACTTGCCCCTCGCACCGCCACGGTCACTGCCACGGTGCTCACGACCACTCACCGCCAACCCACCGCCAACCCGCCGGCGGCGGCCGCGCCGGGCCGCGCCGCGCCCTTCACCCGGACAAACCAGTCCCTGCCAAACTACACACGGGGACACGTGTAAATTATGGGATCAGCTGCGGTGACTCAGGGCAGAAGCTGATGTCACGGCGGTACTTCAGAATAGGAGGCCCTAGGTTTCGTGTCCCGACGATGGCAGGAATTTCGACAATAGCTAGAACGAGTTCAGACATTGCCTGGAGGAGAATTTTTCGAATCTCACACAGGATGTAATTCGACACCTCTCCCGATAAAATCACTACACATACGGAATTAATGACCGTGGCAGTAGAGGAATAATCAATCAATCAATCAATCAATTCAGTGCCACCGTCAAAAGTCGTGTGTTAGCGCAATACTCAAATTTTTTTAAAATATATAAATACCAATAAATAATACGCATTTTGTTATTTGCACAATTCTATTGCAGAATAGTGTATTATTCAACGAACGTAGAAATATAGCTCTTATTCACGTCATTAGTGTTTGCGGCAAGAGCAACGTGAGAGAGTGTCGGAATTTTGTAATTTCTAGTGAATAATAGCCATTCTACGCGAGTAGAAGAATATAATTTCTCTACGACTTTGAAATTAATGTTTTAAAATACTAAATGAGTGCCGTAATGTTACATAACGGGTACAGAAAACCCTGAGTGTTCTGTACAACCTAACAGACACCAAATCGCGCACTGTTTCGTGGTTCACCTGTCTTATGACAGTTGCGACTTGCCGAGGCGGAGCATGCTACTGCTTGAGCCCTCTGCCATATGTAAAGAAATCAGACGAATGTGATTTGTCGACGGCGATACGAGAATAACATTCTCGCACGAATTGAGGAACCTTCATCATTACTGAATCCGATAATGTGCAAATATGTATACACTCTGGCGTAGTTGTAGAAGAAAACATTTTCTTTTATTAATATTTTTAAATGAAAACGTGACAGTATTCTATATTGTTTTGGAGTCCACACCAAATCTATTACTACTACCCTATGACTCTAGCCCTACAGGTGATTTCTATCTTTCTTTCCCTAAACCGTTTTTCTTCATTATAAAACCAAAATAAAAACCCTATTTACTCTTTTTATACAAGATTCCGCGACTAAAATTTCAATGTCATGTTTTTAATCTTCAGAACATAGTAATGTAGTTACATAGTAAAATGTGGGAGCAATTCGAAATATCAATTCGACACGTCTATTTGATTTTAGAAGATGATTTGCGTTTTTTGTATTTCATTTCCCAAATGAAGGAAAACTATGCTCTACAACCGGCCAAGTAAACTCAGCGCAACAACTTTTGCCACAGCAGTGACTCTGAGCAGGATGCCCCAGGGTTCTAGCTCCAGCAGTGGCGGAATTTTCGACACTGGTTCCATGGCTGGATACAATTCAGCGACTGTCTGGCGGATAATCATAGCGGCAAGGGGCACATATGTTAGGTTTCCGTGGTTTATACAATCGATACTATGCGAATGCCTGAGCAGTCTTGACCAACGGCCCATGGATGGCGGCGATCTTTCCTCCCTCTACTTTCTTTTATCCACTCCCCTTACGCTAAATTACTGTTACAAGCATCACATACCTACGACGGGAGTACTCGCAAGGATACACCTATACACGATGTATAGGTCTCATCATCTAGCGGGGGAAAATCACTAACCACCTTCCGACGAAAACATGAACTACATTTGCGGGATTAATGACCTTGGCCGTTGACACGCCGGAATCACTAACCAACCAACCAACCAACCAATCAATCAATCAAACAATCAATCAAAGATAGGAACATGCCGCGTGTGCATGTCCAGGAAGTGAAGAGGGTCATTCGCGCTGATGGTGACGCGTGGGGTCGATGACCGCCTCAGAGCAGCTCCGTCACCGCGAGCGGCTGCAGAAGAGAAATGCGCTTTCAGAGGGCAGCGGACGATGCAGACGATCTGCGCACTGCTCGCTTTAGGGTGTTGGCTTATTCAGCTCTTGTAATTTATTTTTCATTGCCAACTATTTGAGGCATTATGTGTTCCATTATGAAATAACGGGTTGAATTTCACTTTGAACATCCAGAGAAACATGTTTTATTTTGTCGTCTTTTAATTTCTAAGGTACGCGTAAAAAGAACTATTTTGAGAAAAAATGCTAAGAAATTTTTAATTAATCGTCTTTCCTGTTTCTGGATTTGCAGTTCTTCTGAGTCCTTTTGAGGTAGTGAACAATTGCACAGCTTGGAAATGGTGTGAAAGCACGGAAGGTATCGTAGGGTTCGGTATCTCACTGCGAATGATGTACACATATTAATGATTAGACCATCAGCGTCGTCACTATAAACCTGAAAAAATATCAGTTAATAATCTCGGAACAAATCGCATGGAAATATTTTCAAGAAAACTACAAACAAAAAAGATGAAATCAGCATTATAAAATGATCACGCTGCCTTTATCCAGTTATTCCAGTCAAACTGCATTTCCTGATCCAACGATACATCATACCTGTCTGAACTCAGCCCATTGCAATGCCCTCGGGAGGGAATCAACTTTCTCTTTCCCCTCAATGCCAGTTACTGTTTAAAAAATTGCATCAAACATTCACCCAGCACTTAAACGATAAAATTAAATATGATTCAGTTATTTTCTTGAAAATTAATGACTTTGACATTTGAGGGTTCGTACAGCAGTTTTTATAGTATAAGGCGAAACGTAAGCGGTACTTTTATGTATGGAGGATACCAACACTCAATTCACATTTAATATCTAATTTATATAAAAATTTAAACTAAAATTAAAGTTCACTTTCAGACGTACAAGACGTACGTTCAGTTAACTCTTTATTTAGATGAATACACTCGAAACTATATTATAAAATTGAATTCAACAATTCTTTGCATTGAGCCATACATAGATATTTCAAGGAAAATATTAAAATACAAAGAAATACTAGCCCATGGCTAAATATTTCATTTTGTCCCAGGAAATGGTAACATAGGAGTAGAATATTATATTTATAAAGAAGATATTAGATTGCCGTATTGGACATGGAAGAATTAGATGAACATTTTACGATGTAAATATTAGGACTTAGTAATTTTCGAGGCCGTAATAAGCAATGAATAATAGACATTGGGTGTTTTTAGTAGAAAATAAATTTAGTTATTATTCTGGTCGTAGTCGTTTTTAAAATATAAATGTTTATTTTGGAAGCGTCATATGACGAGATACAGGAAAGACGGACAACCAATGGTCACAGATTTTAGTATAGGCGTCGAGACAAGACACGAGACTGTCCGGAAACGAGTTGTAGCAAATGTCAGAATTACAAAACGTTTCCTTGGAGCTGTTATTGGGATAGAAGATATCTGATCACCGTCTCGAGTACATGGAAGGCTATTTGGTCGTAGTAGTAATTGAGGCAGAGAGAACGTTTAGTTGTCGTGATCTGAAGTAGTATCGAGTAGGGATGCCTCTCTGAAGCATTTGGGAGTATTTTTATGTAAATAATTAATATTATTTGATGGTAGAGATAGGGATATTAACTTTGATACAATTCCAACATCAAGAAAGAATACCAGGAGATCACTGGTGGAAGTCGAGATTCTTTGGGGAAAGATTCTTTACTTCGGTAGCATAGTCTACGAGCACATCATCCTTCACAAACAGGTCCATCAACCTGTTGGAAATGTGCCGGACGCTAGACACGGAATGAAACAGACAGCCTGTAGCCAGAGTTATTGAAACACGGGTAGTATTTTGATCATATCACAAAGCGTTGTGCGTCTATATAAATAGATGGCAGAAATAATGAAAGCTAAAATTATTTTGTAATTAAAAAGTTATTTTTGACTTTCAATGTTATCCTACAATTATCTATCGCAGACTCTGTCTAGCTTGTGTATCAGTAAAAAACCTTGTACAGGCAAACGATAAATATTTTCAAGTATAAAAGTGAAGTTCCAAATTGGCTAGACCAATGTGGTGCAAATGGTATTCATAAACACGTGTGATAAAACAGTTACTAATTGGCTACGCCCAACGCAGGCAGCTTATATTAAATACTCATATTAAAACAGTTACAGTATGTAAGCGAGAAACGAGAGTTCAATTAAAAACTCTGCTTCTGTGCCGCCTTTTAAATAAACACGAACAGAAAATATTGCTGCCTTCGGTGTTCTTCTCTGTTTGCATCCTAAATAAGCAATGGTTCTCAGAAACAAGGAATCGTTTCTAAGATCTTTTTGGAAACGATATACTATGCGGTATAATTAAAAGTTTCTTCATCAAAAACAGTTTATTTTTTGAACATTAAACAATTTTGTGAATCGCTAGTACAAAATATTTACGCAGTAATATATTAAAATTTATATTGTCAGAAAACAAATAACGAAGGCACCTCGCGAAAACAACTCGTTAAAAAAATTCAACATACTTTAACGTTACCTACAAACAACTGATTCCAATACTAACAGAAAAATGCCATTTCTATAAACAGACATGCAACTTTGATTCCTGCTGAGTTCTTAGAATTTTTATGACTAAAATTGATTTAAAAAAATGTCTTTACTTTCTGTTCAACAAATACATGTTTTTCAGAACCGCGAATTGTCAGTTTCTAATTTTAACTTCTGGTTACTGACATAACTTTGGGATCCCATAGCGTAGCTGAAAATTAAATTTATAATAAATATTAAAAATATTCAAACATTTATTATAAATATAATTTATTGTACGAATTGTTGTAATGTATTGTACGTATTATATTGTACATTATATTAAAACTGGTAGGTTTTTCTTTCGCGCGAAACACGAGAAACATAATATCCGCAAGAAAAATACCGCACATCCAACGGAACAGTGATCCAACTGAAAATGTAATTTTACCGGACAAGAAACATTCTGAAATAAAATAATTTGATCCAGCATTATACACACAACCATAGTCATGGAGCCTCATGTTTTGGTTAAATGTTGCCGAATGATCTTACGAAGATCTTATTATGTATCAATATTTTTCCTGTTTTAACCTTTTACATTCACCTTTCTTCTTACAAATGTGTCATTGTTTCTCCGAAATTTGAGATCCTTTTGTCGTAATTAATAATTTTCAAATTCAGTTAGATGCACAAGGTCACAAAGAAGAAATAAACCATAGTATTCGAAAGTGACTATTTAGCAAAAATGACACATTTGCACATTTGCGGCATTATTCTGCTGTAAATTGTTTGCTCTTCCTTTTTCAGAAGACCATTGACAACCCTTGTGACAATATTCTCGCGAAAACAGGTGAAATAAAAATTTATTCTATATTTCTGCAGATACCGTAAGTTTCAGCAATAGTTCTGACATATTTCCCTTTTTTCGCACACTTTCGCAATTACGCCATCATTTCATGGGAAGAGCCATACAGAAAGCTACTGATACACGAGTGCCTCTCAACGCACCTGTTTTTTCCACATGTTTTGTCCAACTGCTTCGATCTGGAAGCGTGAGGTAAGGTCAGAAATGTGGTGAGGTCAAGAAGCAACGTCTGCGTTCACGTTGCTGATACTGAAAGTTGCGTCCTCATGAAAGTTTTGGTATTTTCACCAGATGATTGTGCCGAAACTGTCTTTTCTTACCTTTACGTATCACATTACATATCATCATATCGCATTAATATCTTGCCTTAAAATATCAAATCTCTGTTCTCCCCCTCAGGGATAAGTTTCTACATCTCACCGCGCGTGGCATTACACCAACTCTTATCAACCCTATTTAGGGTCTTGGGAAGCAGCATTCTCCACTACCTCACCATTAGGTCAGCACCCTCCTAGGTCAAATTCAGCAGCTCTGGAGGAAAATTCAAGCAACTGGCTGTTCCAAAGGGCACTTTCCATGGTTTCTTTGACCAGTACCAGGCGAATGCTGAAGCAGTATCAAATGGGCCACAATCCTCGGGCAAATTGCCCTTCCTCTTGCTCTATCTTCACCCCGTAGTTACACACACACATTCAATGCACTACATTACCGCACGTGTCAGGATATACGTCGTGAGCGTAGAGTTCGATCCGGCTGGAGCAGTGCTCACACGAGGGACATATCTAGAGGGGAAATCCCCGCAAATTAACATGTAGGTCGGCGCAGGACATCCCCCTTAAGGGGCAAGGGGAGGACAAACGTCACCAGGAATAAAGCATGCATTACACTACGGCGAGTAACGGCCATAGCAGTTGACGAGCCAAAACACAATCAAACATCCTCTCTTCCCTTCATGGATTCACCTTGACCGTTCCTTCCCTGCCAGCACAATCTCTGCGTGGGCGTGGCCGGCGGCAGAGAGAAACGGCCTGGGCGGCGCTCTCGCCGCCCCCCCCCATTCCTCCGAGGACGAGGCTTCGATGCCCGGCGGCGCCCAGTCCGGTTTCCTCCGCGCTTTCTCTGACGCGCGCCCCTACACCCCCTGCTCTCCCCTCCCTAAAGTTTTTTCCCTCCCCACTAACAAGCTAGAATATATTTGGTATATAGAGTGGCCAAATATGTGTGATATATAGTGGCCGAAGCGTCTCCATTTTTGCAGCAAATTGAAACCCTTTTTATTGCAGTCAAAGCAGCGCCCTCCGGAGAAACGGAGACTTCTAGTATTCCGTTTGGCGCTGAGGGTCATGGGCCGTGCGTTATGTAAATCCTCTTACTCTGTGTTCCTCGACCAAAAACCAATCATTAAAAAACGGAATCACAATATGCAAGAAAAACGAATTCAGAAACTTTAAAAATACGTTGCTACCTGCATCGATTATTGTCATAAGAATGGAAACTGTTGAAATGTTATTATAGTTAGCAAAAAGTATGAAAGTCAATGTTACTGCAATGGTTTTGTAAGCATTGGTTTCTTATGCAGTTAAAAATACAAAAGAGATGCGAATCATCAAAAGGTACAAACTGATACACAAATCTTATTTTTGAAGCATAGCTGTTAAATGTAGATATTGTATTTACTTGTTGAAATATACTTTGTGGATAAATAAAAGTGCAAAATATTTCAATAGTTTTATAATTTATTGACGTCTGTAATAAAGACAATGTGTTCGTGCACTCAATAGCCTTGGAAGTGAATGGTAATGAAAATTAAATTTCACTTCATTAGTAAATACTAAGGCTCCTTATTTATATTCTGTCTGAAGACTGGAGGATTTATTTCTTTCAGTGTATTTTTACACATATTTTTTTCTCCGTAGGAGTTTCGAGCAGTTTACGAGCAGTCAAGAAAAAGTGCTTTGCACAAGAAATAGAGTGAACTACAATTCCTCATTTGAAACTACGAATCGTTTGAATGCAGAGCATGTGTTGTTATTTGACACCAGCTACCCTGGAATGTGTTGTTTGTCTCGTCACCTGTCGACATGATTCCTCTAGAAACCCATAAGCCCTGAGGAAGTGTTACTGTGAAAGTTTTGTAATTTTTGAAAAAAAAAAACAGAATAAAATGACGTTTATGTCATCTTGTGGGGTTCATTTAGCACTATCCCTACTAAACGCTTAATAAAAAAATAGACCTGTTTTTGAGAAATTCGTGCTTTTGTTGTTTTTAATATTGAACATATTTCACGAATTATTGTGTGAAAGCTATTAAAATTTTCAAAATAATGTACATAAACTTAATGAAACAACTAATTATGGATAAAACAAATATTTGAAGAAAACATCTCAATCTTCAATTTTGTAGTTGTCGAAAGACGCCGAATAATCCAAACTTTTGCAATTTTCAAAAACTCAGAATTAACAATGGAAATTGGACCTATTCCACCTATATAAGTGGTTTTATCTCTATTCTAAAAAAATAAAGATAACATTTGGAGCTATTTTTGAGAAAATTTTGAAAATATCGCAGAGGCATCATGTAAAGTACTTCCAAACATTATTGAATATTTTTCAGAATCGCAAAGATTTGAGTGAGCTTCGATCGCCATGATCTTTTCTCAGCTTGGAAAAAATCCTATGTATAGTTTAGCCGCTTGATTTGTTTACACACACCAGACAGACAGACAGACAGACAGACGATCAGACGTTTTGAAAAAAGACACTTTTTCGGTAGCAAATCCCTGCAATTTCTGAAATCTGACTAAATAATATGTTAGAGGGAGTAATTTACTACATTTTAGAACAGGATTTATCTACATTTTCTGCCGCAGCATAATATAACTTTTTCTATACTGCCTACTATATCCGTATATTTTTCGTACACATACGAAGAAGTAAAAAAAATCATTGGAAGACACCGGACCTGGTTGGCACAAGGGGGTGGTCAGCACTCTGATTTCTACTTCGGTCACCAAGTCTTTCTAAGCTTTAACTTTATGTCACGTGTCCTTGCAATATTTTGATTAGTGGTCAGATTCACAACTCTGTTATGACTAATAAAAAAAATTCTACCTCTTCAACGTGTCAGACACTAAAAATGTATTTGTTTATCTGACATTTTGTCATTCGAGGACAAAATTATTAAGATGTTTCCACATTATTTAAATATAAAATAAGGGGAATAAATTAATTATCTTAGTTGTAATTCTCACTACTAGAAGACATAAGCTTCGCGTCCTGAGAACTTGAATTGTTTTATTAGAGATTCCGGGTGCGGACACTGCAAAGGACATTAGTCCTGTGAGTGTAGTGCATGTTGTTTCCTCTGGAGTTGGCGGAAATCTTCCCCCGCTGCATAGTGACATCAGACGCCGATCTACGTCGGATAGGAAGGATTTTCCCCAATCAGATATCTCCCACCAGCAGGGTACTGTCCATGCCGGGGAAGTTATAAGCTCCTGGCCGGACTACCGACATGTGGTAATGTAGGGCATGTAAGTGTA